CCCCAAAACCCCAAAACCCCAAAACCCCTGAGTGGGAAGTTTGAATTGAATGGGAAGTTTGAATTGAATGAGGTGAAGTTATCTTTGAAATATCTGGAGAAATATGAAAATTTGAAATAGTAGTTAATGTAAGTGGATTTTGCATTAGCTCTGATATTTATATTAGAGTTACTATAGTAAACAGAAGGTAAAAATATAGCTATCCTCCATTAGCAACAATATTACAAAGCCCATTTCTTTCCTCCTAAACTAGATTCAAGAATCTCTACATCAACCTTTTAAACAATATTTTTCAAAACCGAAACGGTTGCATAAAGGCGCTTATAAACAATCTCTTACTATGGCCCTGAATTCACTCAAACCCCGTCTATATTTCCAAGACTTCCTTCCTAACTATGTAGAAATGAGCACATAAGCCTGACCAGCCACTACAGTCATGAATACCTGTCTCACTTAAATCATACAGGCCAGATCCAATATAATAATTCCAAGTAATTTTTACGAGTAATTAGCTTAAATAGCCCACTTGTAAGTAAAGCCAGAGCCTAGCTGCAACCGTGGAGATGCCAAGTTATTCCCATCAGCATCTAGTTCCTGTTGAGAGGCAGTACTTGTAATCCCTCCTTGGGATCATGCAGGCTATCTCGCTTTCAGATGGCCAGCTTAGTTTCCACCTTCATTATCATGCATCTCATTTTTAGAAGCCATTTTAATAGTAGAACTTACAATAGAAGGCTTCCCAGCTGCACCAGGATTTTGGCCGCCATTGAGAGCTCTTGAAATATTCAAACCTCCAGAACGATTAGGAGGTTTAGTTGCATTTGGATTTGCATTGTTAGGATTGTTGTAGATAGGAGGAAAGCCTTCTTTATTATCCTCGTATACATTTAAATGCTCTCCAGCTAGGACAAATCTAGACTCAGTTCCATCAAGGTGAATATTCCCATTGTTATCCACTCTGTACAAAATAATTATAGTATCTCTAGCATAAAATATTTAATAACAAAGAGAGCAATGTACTTACTTGTCAGCTGGAACCAAAACCACCTCCCGGCCTTGCCCCATGTTTCCTTGAACACCTATATTCCCTTGTGTACCTCTATGGTCTTGAGGCCCTCTGATCTCCATATCACCTCTGTTTTCCTGCATGATTTTGTTTTGTTGAGCAACTTTATTATTCCTGCATCATAGCCCAAACTGAATGTTCCAAAGGAAAAATAAAAGGATTCCTGTGACTAGATTAAGGACGCCTATTATATAGAAGTCGCCTGGGCGGACGCTCTCCTTGATTCCATCCAAACAGGACTTATCTGGCACGCCTATAATTAATCCTATCTTGTAAACTTACCAGAGGAGGAATCACTGAAATAATAGATAGCTCTTTGTGCACAGATACCTGAACATTTGTACTCTTGCTCTATTTGGCCATAATAGCCCAGATACCTCTTGAGCTCCTCTACATCATTGAAATCTATTTCATAATTGGCGTAAGCATCCATAAGGTACTTGTCACATTCCTGCACTTTCTTATTACCCGATGAGGAAGTTGTTGCATAAGTCATCCCACTTGAATAGGATGAGGATCCGATATAGCAAGGGCATGAGGACGTACAGAAGACTGCTGCAGCATCTGGATACACATTTTCAAGCCTAATAGCTAAACTATCCGAAGACCCGGTGAATTTGCATGTTTCATCCACTTTGTTAGCCATATACACTGATAGACCCATGATGATAGCTCCGTAAATTATGCAATAAAACGTCAGAAGATTTAGGAATATGAAGAAGCAGTAGTGAAAGGCACCATATCTTTTGAAAGCCATGCATACTCCTCAAAAAGTGATGATGATCAGATAGAATAGAGTTAGCAATCAGGTATAATATAGGTAAGTTTCGACTGTCTCACTGCCATCAAACAGTATCCCAAAAATAGGGCTGTCCTTGACCATGTCCACCAAGTAAATGAACATTGCTATTCCTGCCTATATTTGAAATTGGATTAAATCTACAGAAACACTCATGAAATTATATATAGCAGAAGTTATGAAAGTATCTAAAAATTTAAGAACAGCAGTATGAATGCAAGCCAATTCTATATAATTTCCCCTTGGCTGCTCCTCTTTATCATTTTTATTTTGAGGCTTAAGCTATTTTTCAAACTATGAAGACCAAAAATCAGTATATATTAAGTTTTTCCATGAAAATGGTAAACAAAATATCTGTCTCTCTTTACGGCTCTTAAAAAGCCCATACTGAGAATGCATGGCTCATATCACATCTCTGTATAACCCAAAGCTCTTGTGAAAATACTTACGACTTGCAGGAGGGAGAATATCAGCAAAAGAATTTTTACTGTTTTCACTTTTCAGGATCTGAATATTCAACACATTTAACAATTTATTTGATTTCAAATGTTGTGTCCTTAAATGGGGTTTTGGGGTTTTGGGGTTTTGGGG